GCTGCGTAAACACTTCGTCATCAGAAACTGTATATTTCTTTCTTCTTTTCTCATCGATAACAATACAATTTCAAAAGTATTGTTACAATTCGTGAATTCGCCAGGTGAGCCCGATGGTTCTGTTGCGAGCGATAACTTGAAACTTATCTGGAGTATTAGTCTTAATTAAGATCGTTGAAGAGAGAGGTTTCTCACGAAGATAAGGGTAAAACGAATATTCTGGATCCAGATCACCCGCGTGCTATCAAAGGGAATATTTCCGCGTTCACGACTTCCGCGTTTCTGGCTATAAAAGGCAGGTCTTATCTGGTCGACATCGTCCTCACGATTCCGACGGACGCGACGCGATGCATTTTTACGGTTTCTTTTGAGAAGACAGCGACTCGGGGGACAGAGCTCGAAATTACGCTTATTTGTGAGAAAGGAAGCGACGAATTTGCGAATTTTTGGTGTTGGAATGTTCTTGATCGAGTGTTGCGAAATAATAAGAAATCGGTTGCTCGAATCAGTTCTCTTCAGTTAACAATTATTTGCATTTGACATTTTCAAAGTGAGTCTCGATCAAATCAACTAAGATCTGTGAGATCGTAGAAAAATTTAGTTCAGGTTAATGAGCTGAAACAAAAATTCGTTCTGTTGTTGTATATTAATGATATTGCGAAATTCTTAATTTCTCGCCAGAGTGCGAATTTTTGTGCGTTTATGGAAAATTTGAGTATACAAAAAGATATCCAAAAACACAACAAAGAATATTCAAAGTAAGACAGGATTATTCGAGTCGCAAAAGCTTCAAAGTTTTAACATTCAATCCTGAACTTTATACAAAATAATTGAACCTATTAATATAAGAAATTGTTCTCGTTGAAAATTATAACCATCGAGCTGTTAACGTAAATATCGTGTCTATTTCATTGTTTATCACGCCACCAATAACAAATGAACTTGCCTCGATAATTGTTCGTAGCTGAGTTTCAATGCAGAAAATGCTTGAGCTAATTTAATTTGATCAAATGCTATTAAACAATTCTGTCTTGCCCTATTTAATCTACAAGACAAGTTCTACTTTTAACTGCATAAAAATATAAATTTTTTTTTAATATAAGTACATACAGATATAAATATAAATTAACTAAATAAAAATATTATAAATTTCCACGAAACTGTGTGAAATGGCTGATAATAGAAATTTTCGTTATTATCGACCAGAGTTCGTTTCAAAGTCGAGATGAGGAGA